CCTACAAGATCCCCAAATGTATCTGATAGATATTTTATGAAGGGATGAGATGGCAAGGACACATTCCAACATTCAACGCACTGTGTATTACCAAAAAATAGATTTTGTAATGCAAAGTTATTCACCTATGGCTTTTCACCCAGCCTCTCTTTTGTTCCAACACGTCACAGTATGGACAAAAAACCTGGCAAGGCAAGTTTATTTGTAAAGCACAATTCAGTACAAGGACAATTGAAGGTGATTTACATTAATTAAACAATAAAATAAAAAAAAAATGAAAATAGAATAAAAACAAATTAAGATAAAAGCAGGTAGCAAAACAAATAAATCAGTTTGAACTCAACCTTAAACGAATAATACCTCAGTTAGCAGTTTAACTCCAACAATCAAGGGCAGTTCTACACAAATGGGTTTTTAAATTTGACTTGAACTCAGCCTTTCATCACTTTTACAGTCTTCTGGAAGTTTTTTCCAGATCAGTGGAGCATAGGAACTAAATCCTGCTTCTCTATGTTTGGTTCTAGTTCTGGATGGACAGATTAGGCTTTAACTAAAAGACCTGAGTTGTCTGGGAGGTTGATACACTGACAACAAATCTGGTATGTATTGAGGAGCTGATCCATTCAATGATTTATAGACTAACAGCAGGATTTTAAAGAATATTCTCTGAGCTACAGAGTCAGTGTAAGGACTTCAGAAACGGGATGTAAGGTGTGCTCTACTTTCTTAGTTCTAGTGAGAACACGGGCAGCATCGTTTGCAGCTGTTTGATGGACTTTTTAGGCAAATCTATGAAGACACTGTTGCAGTAATCAGAAGATTAATGCATGAATGAGTTTTTCTAGTCCTTCAATCCTGAAAACGTTCTTCGGTGATAAAAGCCTGACTTAGTAACTGCCCTTATGTGCCTCTAAATGTTTGGGTGTGAGTCCATCATGAGAATCAAATTTCAGTCATTATCAGTGCTTTCTAGCTGCAGCAGCTGAAGCTGTCTGCTAAATCTGGATCTCTCCTCCTTTGATCCCAAGATTATTGCCTCAGTTTTATTTTTATTCAGTTGGAGTAAATTGTGGCACATCTGATCTAGCATCTAGCCTTCAAACAGATACTTAACTGAGTTCTTTGATCTGAATTAAGGAATCCACTGCTGTACTGCTAGTTAAGTATTGCTTTGGTAGATTTTTGTTTGTTATAGAATGGGGGGACACTTCTCAAAGCAGTTTGCATAAATATATATGGACCTCCAGTTTAGCTTATATAGCTAACCTTCATGTACACATGTACACAAACACTAAGAAAGTAGTTTTTTTTAACTAAATATCATGTCACTGTTTTTGTGTATTAATTATCCCCAAAAATAAAATTTAATATTTTCTTTCATTTTATGTGATTCCTTATGTGTAGCATATGTTTAATTTCTGCTCAAACAAAAAAAGTTGTTGTTTTTTGCAGTTTATCAAAATTTTCCAAAAATAGATGAGCTGATCTTACATTCATCTAATATATGCAGCACAGCAGCAACTCCCAAATTTGTATTCTAGAGAATCCCATTCCCTAATTATACAGATTTATGCAAATGGCCTGCTTCGCTGGATCACATATTAGCGGTATCAGGAGTCATTAATTCAGCTAAGGGACAATTTGATATAATAATGTGATGAAACTGATGCCCCCATTACCTCAGGCTTATATTAGTGGAAGAAGCTTGTTTGTTCTTTGTTTGTATATTAAAAATAAAGGAATATATTTCATGAGAACTGAAATGTTTTTGTTTGTTTTTTTCAGGAAAAAAAAAGAACAGAGTGAAGTCATTAATGTATGGTATTGCGGTGCTATTTTTTAGAGTCCATTTATAAATAGTTTAACAGTGATAGAAGACCATGAAGAGGAGTTAACACCTTGGAAGAGTTGATGCTTTCAGTGTGTTGGACCATTCAGATATCTGTGAATACAGTGTAAAAAAACAACAACAGAGCAAACAGAGCTGATCATCAGTAAATTCATTTGTAACAATTTGTAATTCTTTAACGACAACTACTACAGATAAATAGACATGTTTAATACAACAGATATTCTTTAGAGAACCATATATCCCTGTCTAGGCTGAGGGTAAACAGCCTGTAAATAAAAAAAAGATAAAAATAAATAAAAAAATCAAATAAAAAGAAACAACTAGGTAAAAATAAGGATGTGAAAAGAATCCTAATTTCTATACCAATTTAATCAGCCATGGAGTACAGACACAAGGTCAATACCTTTCGAGGCCAAGACCAAGACCATATAAAGTCTTGGTCTTCAATTCACTTCAGTTCTATTTATTTATAAAGCGCCATTTAACAACACATGTCATCTTAAGGCACTTTACAGTTCACTGTAGCTACAGTGGAGAGGAAAAACTCCCTTTTAACAGGAAGAAACCTCCAGCAAACCCAGGCTCAGTGTTAGCGTCTATCTGCCGAGGCCGACTGAGGTTCAAGGAGACAGAAGCAGAGATACAAAAAGCAGCTGTAAAAGGCGACCCGGTCCAGGAAACACACAGCCAGGCAGACAAGCTCCGAGCCAACCCATGTCATGAAGAGAGCACATTCAGCCAGTCACAGTCAGAGAAAGAGGACTACACTGGAAAACAGGCTGATCTCCAACATCTATAAGCAAGGGTGTTGATGGCAGCAGTGACGCTTATATTTCTCTCCAGGATGGTGTCACAGCCAAACAGGAACAGACGAGGCGAAGCTACTATGAGCAAAAGCAGAGAGAGCATACCTTTAGAAATTGAACTAACAGATTCTGCAGAGTGCGAGAATAGAGATAGAATGAAGCAGAATGATGAAAAATAGGGGTCCCTATGTCCTTTAGAAGTCTAACCCTATAGCAGCATAACTATAGAGATAGCTCAGGATAACCTGAGCCACTCTAACTATAAGCTTTATCAAAAAGGAAAGTTTTAAGCCTAGCCTTAAAAGTAGACAGGGTGTCTGCCTCACGGACTAAAACTGGTAGTTGGTTCCGCAGGAGAGAAGCCTGATAACTAAACGATCTGCATCCCATTCTATTTTTTAGAAATTCTAGAACCACTAGTAAACCTGCAGATTGAGAGCAAAGTGCTTTGTCAGAAACATAAGGAACAATCATATATCTGATATAAGATGGAGCTTGGCCATTTAAGGCTTTATATGTGAGAAGGAGGATTTTAAATTATATTCTGGATTTAACAGGAAGCCAATGAAGAGAAACTAGGATACAAGAGAAATTATCTCTCTTTTTAATTTTCATCATAACTCTGGCTGTAGCGTTTTGGATCAGCTGAAGACTTTTAACTTTTTCAAATGCAGCACTGAGATCTGACAGGTCAAGTACATATACCAGTCCTTTATCTGAGGTCATGAGAATATCATGGCCTTAGATAGGAGGCCATAGAGGAAAATGAAAAGGTCTGTCTACTAAAGAAGTGACTGCATTATTTAGGCTGTAAAGATTCAGATGCATAACAAGGGACTAAAATAATCCCAAGGAAAATGGAGATCAGTACTCAGTTCTACTTACTGTCAAACCCTGGGTCAGCAGGACAGTGATTGGTGCGCAGTCTGCAGTTACACTGAATTAAACCCTTAACTTTTCAGTTTTTCATAGTGTATGTGCAAATATCAGGAAATAAATGCATTCAAACCTTAACAAGCTAACCCACACTAACAAGATCGTCATAGAAGAATGAGTCCATGTCACTGGTTTCATATGCATGATTTTAATTAAGTTTTTGGACAAATAAGGAAAGATGTTATTGTAGAATTAGTCTTTCTCAAAAGTTTTAGTTTCCTTGTTGTAAGAGCCACAATGGAAGAAATGTAATAATTTATCCTATGCAAAAGCTTAGAGTTAAAAAATAAGTCAAAGCTGAATCATTGACTCTGTCCATGGTGCTGATCTAGTGGGCCTGTGTATTAGGCTTGGTATCTTAGCAGTTTAAACAGTTGACCTTAACAATTATATTGAGAAACAAATCTGTTGAAATACAAGTAACTAAAATATGCTTAATTTGCAAGAGTTCACTGTGGGAACACTTGGAGTATTCTTATTTGAAAAAAACAAACAAAAAAAAAAAAACCATACACAGTAGTATAATTGTAAAAAAAAAAAAAAAAAAAAAAAAACCATACACAGTAGTATAATTGTAAAAAAAAAAAAAAAAGTAGGTGGATGGTGGAT